ATTAAAATTGTTGGATTACATTTTATAATTATTTTATTATACAAATAATAAAAAATCCAAAATATTTTATAATATTATCTACTTTAAAATGTATTATTGACAACTGTAAGAAAATAGTACATTACATGATTTATAATGTAAAAATTAATAAATAAAATAAAATATTTGGTTATCAATGTAGAAATTATTAAAATGCATACTAATTTTCAAAATAACACTTTAATTTTTGAAAATTTTAATTTTTTAGGTTTCTAGAATAAATTTAGTGAAAGAGATTGATAGTAGAGAAAGAGAGAGATTTCAAATAGAATAAACTTTTTATTTTCATTTTTTTTAACGCCTTTTATATTATTTACAACAAAAATAGCACTATATTATTTACAACAAAAATAATATACAGCGCCCAGGGAGGGGGATTCGACCTTGGGACGTCAAGGAAGAAACTGGAGGTGATAACCATCAACGCCACCTCGCCGCATGTGACATTATGTCTCCTATTAATATACATATTCAATTTTTGTCTGCATTTAATGATGTTTGTGGGAATTATCCCACATCCAAGGATGTATATTAAATTCCCCTCTATAAATAACTATGTAATAGCTATTAAGGTACACGCGTGAAACCGCTAAGGCAGCCCAACGTGTGAGAGGTGTTGCATGTACTCGCGACGCGGCGAGGGTGAGGTTGTGCCATATGTAGAACTGGAGATTGGTGATGTCAGAAACCGCCGGTTTATGATGTCATCAGGCGGTTCACTGTTCATAACCGCCCGATTCTCTTTAGACACGGGCAGTTCTGTGTATTTTGCTGAAACCGGCACAGGGGTGCCCATTCTCAAGTCGCCTGGTTCGACTCGCCAACTTTTCAAACACTGGATCCACCATTTTGATGATTTTGTTCTGTGTATTTTGTCTAAGCCATAGTGGTTTAAAATTTTCATCATTACATTCATCTAATCCAAGGTAGTCTTGCAGAGCACTGACTAGAGAAACTAGCCCATCCTCTATGGCTACAATGCTAGACCACAATAATGCAGAGACATTTATGTAACACCATCTAATTGCTCATCAGGCTGCAGCATCGCTTAGATCAATTCAAAATGCACTGCAATACTCAAAGGAATTTGTTATGGACAGACCCCAAACTTCTCTTTTTTGCCCTCAAGTTCACTAATCCCTAATGTTTGTTTCACAAGATTATAGATTACAGCCTTTGACTATATCCCAACGAATGCAAGATCAGGAAATTACTCTAAACACAACTAAGGTATGACATGTCTATAAGATTGGAGGCTCTCATGCATCAACGGCCACATGATTGGTTGCCTGGAACAGTTTTGCATTCTTTGGAATACATCACCATAGGGCTCTTGTGATCCTGTAGGCACTTAAGTTTAAAGATTTCTTTGGTTTTGAAAACAATAACTTTTAGCCATAAATGGAACTTGGTCACTCGTAGCCCAAATATTAGGCACAGATAAGAGAGTTTCATAGGCCAAATCGTCAAAGCATATACTCAAGCTTAATTTCAACAACCCTTCCAAGAATTTAGGGTCGTCCGGCTAAGAAGCTTAGCTAAAAAATGGCCTCAGTAGAATTTTCAAGACCATTATTTGAACTCTTGGTATTGATAATTCCATTGTAGCTAAAGGGAGAGATCTTTTGACAGGTACTAAAAGTTTTTCCAACTACTTATCAGGTCCCTTGATTGTGGACGGGAAATATTCACGATGCAATCAATGGGCGGAGAGACAAATTTAGCTAGCATTAAGGAAAATATACTCACAAGTTACGACAGTTGAAAAAAAAAATTGATTTCCTATTCCATGCGCTCAGAGAAGCTAATTGAGAGGTAGATGTACTTGCTTCAGAGGAAGTATAGGGGGCCTCTCTTAATTTGAGGAACTTTTCCTCCCCTGGCCAGATAAAACAAGCTGAAGTAACCTTTTTCCGTACTGTAATCTATCAAGAGGACATCTTGTAAGCAATTCAGAAACATAAAAGCTAATTGTCTTATGAAAGTTAAGAAAGAGAAGACTACAGAGCTTAATGCTCACAAAGAAGCCAATTCTGACCACTGAAAAAGAAAAAAGATACGAGACACTTCTTCTAGCGCGTCATCCAGAATCTTGTCCCAACTACCATCCAATAGATTTTGCTTCAAGTTCTCCAAGCCTTTTATGCTTTTATTAATTTTATATAACCTTCTCACATTCCTAAACAGATAGTTATATCAAATCCTTGGACTACTTTAGGATGACATCATCAGTCAATAAAAATTTAAATGAAAGACATTTTGATACATCTGCTGACGCATACAATTTGTTTACAACCAAGACAGTGAAGTTAAAATTCAAAAGGTCATAAGGAGAGAACAACATGCTAAGCAACTTTGTTTGCATCAGCTAAGATGTTTGGCCTTGTCATTGCTCCATCAGCATCTCAGTTCTGACATACAAGAAGCCAATTATCTCTAGAGAATATGTAATCAATATTTATCAAACACAAGCACTCACAAGATGCTTCATATTGTTGTTTGTTATTTTCTATTGATCACAAGATGTTTCAGTCATTGTCTTTAATTTTATATAGGTTTGTCGATGTATCTTCCAGTAAACACAGGCATCAAGTTTATCAGTTTAAGAGAGATATAAGATGTAGAACATTTGGCTATTCCCTTACCTACAAGAGAGCTGAGGCCCTCAAGCACGTTGGGGGTCACTGGAAGGTTCTAAAGCAGAATATGTTTATTACATGGCCTTTATGCTCGGATATCATCTAAGGTTGTTTGTTCTCAGTTTTGTGGTATACTTTTATGGTTGCAAGTTTTGAATTCTGCAACATCGTTCACTCTTTTTATTAGATGGTGGAAACTCAACAAATACGGATACTTAATTTCCTTGTTATGATTCTCGTGGGGATACAAGTCTCATAGTGTTCACTATTTATTAAATCTGAAGGCATGGTTCACCAACAATTTTGACTTCACACTCCACAGTCAATAGGGCTAACTGAGCATAAGAAACATTGTATCATTGAAAATACTAACACTTTTCAATCTCTGAAATTGTTCCTCGGTTTCTATGGGAAATATCAGTTTTAACTTCAACGGGCTTGATTGCCAAGAGAACTACTTCCCCATCCCTTGTTTCATTGCTAATATTGTCTTCAGGCTTTTATTGGTATTCAGTCCATCAATTAGTGACTACATCTCCTGCAACATTTAGAACTACTTGCCTTGCGTAACTTCCTCCATCTGAATTTCACAAGTTACCTCCCAGAGCTTAAGTCACCAATTAAAGTAATTGAAGCTTCTAAATCTCTAGCCAAAGGCTCCTTGATTTATCTAGTGCACTCTTGATTCCTAAATCTACCTAAGTAGATCATTGGCTTTACCTTCTGATAATAAATGAACCCTCAAGTAAATGGTTCCAACTCAAACAAAAAAACATTTCTTTGAAATTATGAAATGAATCTAAAAACATAAGTGCATACAAGTATATTTACATGCATATACGTGCAAATTATAAATATATCTATGCATGTGTGTGTCACGATACAGATTATACATGCAGAAGATATTTACAAAATTTTCCCCTTTTTTGGCTGCATAAGATAGAATCATAGATAAGTTTTATATATGTACATACATAGATTTTGTTTGATAAGCAATGTAGAGTATAGATCACACACAAGAATGCCAACATATAGAAATACACTGGACACTGCTCCCACATGCACACGAGCACCTACACATACTTGTTAAAATATATAAATGTATATAATACATGGGATCATCTCTCTGTGTATTCGATGAAGGAGTCTCTTTAAATTTATTGCACATGATTCCCAGTTACCCATATTCACCTTAAGTAAAGGTTGGCTTGTGGCTTGGGGAGCATCCCAAGCTAGCATCATATCAAACGTCAGACGCCGAAAGCTCCTATCGCCAAGATGACCCGTTATTTGAGTAGACACGGCAAGAGCTCTGAAACAACAGTATTCCAAGAAGTTCCTTGCATATCGAGATGGATGTTTTATTGAACCAGAAGCTTCCAGATTAAAGTGTTGTTGAAGCTCATCCATGGAAACATCAAGAATCCTATACAAAATTAAACACTTTCCATAAGTGAAAAAGCATGGCATCAGTTAAAAAACAAACTGTGCATGGAATGAGATCACCCACAAACTAGCAGTTTTCCATGGAAGATGAAGCATTGAATCTAGATTGGATAAGTATGTTCGATTAATCTAAGAACCTTAAAACAGATACATTTGAAATTAGGCACCATAGTATATGAAAGTGAAGCAAAACCTTCAGGAGGAAATCAATGACAGTACAAAAACAGTGAACACTTTAGAATAAGGATTGCATTGAAACCCAAAATGAATATGCAAAGGAAAAAAAATTAACTCTGGAAAGGGAAAAAGAAGAAGGGATAACATTACCTCGAGCATCGACCCACAACCACATTGGCAAGGGGCGAGAGCTCTGAGATACATTTCCTACGTCCTGAAGGAGAGCGACCCAGTGCTTCATATTCTTCATCAATTGAACTTTTTCCTCCCACGACCCACTTGAGAGAACCTTCTCTCACTAAACCCTCCAACAAATTTCTTGTTCTATCCATCATCGTCATCGTGATTCCAACACAAATCCCAATTCTCCAACCTTATAACTGCCAATAATGAATAAATAGCAAAAAAGGCAATTCACAGATTTAAATAAAATCCTCCGAACATTGTGAAGAAATCCTAAGCAAACAAAGCATGGATAAAGAAATTAGTATTTGAGCAATTTATAACCTCTTCTCAAGGCTTCACTTTTACAACACCTTTCCTAGTCATACTCTTGATAAATTCGATGTCACAATCTCAAAACCAACACAAATTCAATTGTCCAGCGCCCTGAATATGCCATAAGCAAAAGCAGAAACCCCAAAAAGATAAGGTGGTATCTCATCAATCAACCAAAATTGGTAGGTTATTGAATTTAAACCCTGATTCTTACATTTGCTGATAATCATATGATAAAGAACAACAATAATTTCATCAGCACATCAATGTACAAAAGAAAAAGAGCATTTAAAAAACTTTTAGCCCTTCCTTCATGGCCTTTCTTTCACTGAGAAACTCTCTTCTCCCAACAAACATACATGAAAAAAAAAAACAAGTGGGAATCTCGACTCTAAATTCGATTCCACAGGCCATATACTAAAAACCCATATCAATCAACACCGAAAATGCAAACAAAATGTGAACCATTCTTAAAGTTTTGGTAAGGCTTTCCTCTCACTAAACCACTTTATTCATCCAGCAACAAGAAACAAACAAAAATTAAATATATAAAGAATTTGTATTCAGCACCAAGTAGAATCACATGAATAAAATTTACAATACAATCAAGAAAGTAGTGTCAATAAACATTACTTACCCTCGTCTCAAGACCTTCCTCTCACTAAACCAACTTTATTCTGCCCAAAAACAAAAGTCCAGTTAAAAATAGAGAATTCCACACTATAAATCGGATAAAAAGAATCCTTAAGCAGTCTAAACGAAACCCACATAACATAACACTTCTCTTTTCATTGTTTACTGCACATTACACAAAGAAGTAGTAATTTCGGACCACGACTTACCCCTGTCTCTTTCCCTTCTTTCATGGATGTTTCTCTCGGGATCTGACATTTTGGCGACATGGGTTTTGTTAAGAGCAAGGAAAAGAAGAGGAAGGGAGTTACAGATAAAATGGATGGTGCAATTTGCCATTAAACGGTCATGGGCTTCCTTCCCATTGTCAACTGAAAACAATGTTGGTTTCTCTTTTTTTGGGTAAATTCCAAATAATGCTGCTTTCTAAGAGAGAGACAGCCAGAGAGTAGGTGTCAAGAAAAAGGTGAGTGGTGGCAGTAAGAGAGAGAAACAGAAGAGTTCAGTCTCCCTTACACCTCTGTGCGGAAAGGTTAAGAAGATGGCGTGCGTTGCTTGCAGTGTATTTCCCTCACTTAGCAGAAAGAAAGAAGCATCCGGGGCACGTGCTGTATGTGACAGAATGAGTACACGTGTGGATTGGATCAGTCCTCCCAATTGGGTCTAAGTTGGATCTAGACCGATTGGTCCAAGTTAATTGGACATGGACCTCGACTTGGCCTACATATCGGGTGGGGTATGGATCTGTAAATAAAAATGTATATAATTTGTATATGAAAGGTTGGTTTAATGTTGAAAAATCTTAAATTGATCACCTCAACATCACACGAACATGAAAAAAAAAAAAAAAATTTGAGTTGCAAAAATAGTGCATCTTGCAATATATTATCTAGACCGTCCATTTTGAAGATTTTCATATGTTTATAGATCTACTTGATGTTAATCATTTTTAGAGTTTAAAATTTTATATTCAGAGATGAAAGTAGATTTTAAGATAACCCAAAGAATTTTTTACACCAAAATTACATGTTATGATACATTTTAGAGGTACACCTTAATTGGATTGTTTAATTGCAACCCTATAGAAACCACACCCTTAAAATATATATACACGCACATCATATATATAGTCAAATATATTAAAATATTATATATTTCAAAAAATATTATATATATATATATAGTCTTAAAAAAACCTATAGGCGACTTGCTACAATTGTTCCCCCCCGCAGGGACATGCTATGTCCATGACGGTTTTGTCTAAAAACCGCCACGAACCTACAGGTGTAACGACTCAAATTGATTTTATAAAAACTGGAAAATAATAAAATTAATAATAATAATAGTAATAATTCTAAAAGATACTAGTAATATATTGATAAATTTTATATTATTAATATAAATATTGATTAATAATAAATAATGTGATATTATTGTTAGATAAGTTAGTCCTAAAAAATGGCTGCACCCTTGTTAACAGTGGTTTAAAAAGCGGATCGGTGACCCGGATCGGGCATCTCAAAAATCCATGTGGATCGACGAATCAGCGATCCAAATCGGGAATCTGCTGAATCGGTCGAATTAAACCTTAAAAAAATCGGAAAAAATTATTAAAATTCATTATAAATATTGTTTTTTAGGATTTCCATAAGAAATGAGGGTACACCATTAAGAATTTTCATTTTTTTGCATGAATATGCGAATATTGATATGTTCTTTCCTTGCATGAACTATTATTTACCATTTAATTTACATCACACAAAAGGATAAACATAGAATTATCATGGATTAAGTATATCATCATACATGGACTACAATAAAGCATACAATTCGTAACATACGATCTAAAAATAAAATGACAGACGACGTCGTTCTTCATCTTGGTCACGCTGGTGCCATTGATTGAATTAGCGTGACAATTCATTGACTCGTTCTAAAAACGAATCATCCAAATTAGTGGGCACCTGACTATACCCAAATCCCTGAGTGTTAGTGTTTTGTTGTGGTCCTAATCCAAAATCCCCGAAGTTTGTCCATCCTTTATGCTCACTAATACTATCGTGCTCATCCCTACCCTCTTGTTGTTGGGACTCGATATGTGAATAATTTGGCTGGGATTGGGTGGCCTCAGAATCATCATCTCTCTCATTTTCCCTTAGACCCCCTTCCCACTCTCCCTCATTAGGTACAATATCACCGACATCTCCGACGAATTGTGGATATGTTGGCGGCTTGCTTCCTCTTTCATGCTGCTCATCACCTTCTTCAAGATCTTCCTCACCGATAGCCTCAAGGAATGCTCTCTTGTGCAACATTGGCTCATCTTCTTCTACTACCCCTTGTTTTGTTATGTCTGTGACAAATATTGTGTCCAAGTCTATCGGCCCATAGTCTTCAAGCTTCCTTCTTATTTGTCGCTCTCGGAGGTTTAAGTTGTAATGAACGTAGACTAGCTTATGAAGCTTCTCTAAAGCGAGTCGATTCCTCCTAGTAGTGGGTAACCATTGGAACGTACTCAAGTTTCGCTCACAGCCAGTAGCAGAACATATCTAGGAGAGCACATTGATTGCTATCCGCTTTAGGTAAGGTGCATCACTACCATATATCTCCCACCATTCAGCTGGATTAAAATACAGAAAGCATTGTAAGGGCAAGAACAATTCATAAGATTAAATATATGAATGCACAAAATATTAGTTAGGGGATAACCTGGATCCATCCTAGTTTGAGAATTCCTGGCAAGTCTAGTTTCCAAAGATCCTATAGCATCCCTATACATAGCAAGCTAAAACAAAATATTTCGTTTTAGTGCATTATTCCTCACAAATACAACAACTCAATCAAGTTTTTACCCAAATATTAAGTAATACATTTTGTATTGCTGCTACCTGGTTTCGATGCCTTCTCTCCAACCTAGCAATAATGTATCTGACCCCTTCCATAATCTTGTGGGGATGTTCAAGTGTCAAATAGAAAAATTTTGGGTGGAAGTAGTAACCTAGAAAATATATAGATAGAGAAATGTCATTTAAAATTTCATAAAAATAAAATTTAGAATGAAACATTCTAATGATATAAATATATATTTACCTAAAACATTCTAATGACATAAATATATATTTACTTGCATAATGAATTGGACATCCAAATTTGGTATTCTACCTTATTTTTATAATCTCGATCACTTTACTAACAAAACTATACTTCTCCCCAATAGCTGATTTGGCCCTCTCGATACCTTCATAAAGGATGCCCATGGTAGCTTTTTTGTGAGCATCCACTATTCTTAACACCGTGACCAAAGGGGCGGTGGGCTCCACGATACTAGAACATCGAGACCAGAACCTCCTATTTGAGACTATGTCATCCACTTTTAGCCCGGTACTGGACTTTGAGAGGCGGTCATTTAACCACTCTTCACTGATAAACAATCTCTTTATTGCACCTTCAGATTCCTGAATGGAGTCCACAGCCAAGTAATCTGTCGCAAAGTGGGTTATGGCAGGCCTAATTATCTCTTTTTTCTTAGACTGTTCTCTGAACAAAAATAAAATTTTAGAATGGTTAATATAAATCTTGACACCAATCTCGCTTCCTATAGAGTCTCCTTCACAATTTTGATCTCACCGATCTCCTCTAACATAAGATCGATGTTGTGTGCAACACACGGGGTCCATACTAGATGCTTCCTCTTATCTATCAACTTGCTGCGCACAGAAACACATGCGCGTAATAAATTGGACTACATGTTTATCTCCCACCTCCTCCACTATCTGATCATATAGTCGTACGTAGAAGTTTGCATCCTTCTTCATCCCTGCTACGTCTTTGTTAGACAAAAAAGCTGTACCTTTTGGGGAATAGGCCAAGAAGTCTAAAAACTCATTTTTGCTAACTTTATTCGACCAACCATCACTCATGAGAGTAATGCCTGTTCTTGGTCAACTCTGTTTATATTCTTCAATCCACTTTCTAACTTCCTCGACCTCTTCATCCAATATTGGCCCACTGAGCTCATATGTCGTCAGGCGTTTTACCCTTGGCCCGGTTCTCTTGATTGCGTTGACCATAGGTAGAAAATATGGGCTATTGATTGCATCAAAGGGGATCCCTTTATGGTAGAACCATTTACCAACATATCTGTCCAACGAGTTTATCGTACCTTATACCATGCCTTTGAGGGTCATTTGTTCTGACTTAGGCTTTGAGAGAAATGGGTCTATACGACCATGACCTGCAATACTGGCACTCCTAGATAAGCTAGAAATAATTTCTTCAACGTCTGATTCCTCTTAATACATATTGCCACCAACCCCTCCATACATATTTGAGCTGAGCTCGCCATACATGCTCGAGCTGAGCCCGCCATGCATGTCTGAGCTAGGCCCACCATGCATGCCCATGTCATAACCACCACGCATTCTAAACCCGCGTTCTCTCTGGTATGGTTCCTATAAACTAATTCTTGTGGCCATCTCCAAGTCATTATTATAGTGCTCTTTTGGATCATTCCCGCTTGATGGAGTATATAAACTAGCTATCTCCTCATCCATCTTTTGCTTTGTAATTTTTTTACCTTTGGTAGCCTTGAGAAATGTCGCCATCTGCTTTCTTACATTATTAGGGACTATTGTACGCAGAAACATCTCCCTTAACCCCTGTCAAGTGTTGCTTGAACCTATGCACCCCACTACTTATCACTCTGTGGCAGTAATTACAAATAATTTGTCTTGTTTGTTGGGATCAAGTCTGGCCCCATGTTGTCATGCAGGGTCTTCTGCAAATCTTGTCATGGTTCAACTGTTTTAATATTTAAAAGGTTAAAAATTAACTAGACAGTTCAATATGACAAATGATCACCATGGGTAGTGATAATATGTAGGGGTAGTTCATGAAGTTATATTTGTTGTTAATACAAAATGTTTCTATTGACAAAAATATTTTAGTTTCTACTGGAAAAATAATTTATTTATGCAACATTATAGATAAAAATAGCCTATATCAGCCACTACATATAGAACAAAAAATTTACATTGATATAATATTAATAAAAAATATATTTACAATGGTATAGTAATTCACAATGCCAATACATATGGACTTGTGACAAATCTTCATTTCGACAAACATGAATTAGTTCCTACTGAGAAAAAAAAAATATTTATGCAACATTGTAGATAAAAATATGTCTGTATAAGTCACACTTAGAATCAACAAAAAAATTACAATAATATAGTCATCCATAATGCCACTACATGTATATTTGACACAAAAAACATTTACAATGATATAGTCATTCACAATGCCACAAATAAAATTTACAATGATATAGTTGGCACAATCCCAACTCAATTGAAATGATCACAAATAGTCGTACATCTCAATTACAAATATGCAAGATAATATAATAAAAAATACAAGCTCCAAACATGGCTACAACTCAATTATCAAGAACATACATTTTTTGCATTAAAAATTAATAATAAAATTGAAAAATGCGAGATAATATAATTATCATACATGCCACGATTTTTTTACAATGATATTCACTTTAATTTCTCATGATAAT